TTTTACTACCTAACGTCCCGGTCCGCTTGCAACGACCTCGGTTTCACTATTGTAAATAAAAAATTATAGATGAAAATCTTCCTCCCTGAAATATTCGTAGAGGAAGTTAAATGAAAATTGCTCAGAGTGCCAAGCACGAATAACTATCGTATTCGTAACGTAATACTATCGAGCGCGCTTGGCGTTCGGATTTGTGGGTAGCTATTTTATTGTAAAAAGTTATGAACATACATACATAAATAACTTCACGCCTGTCTCCCATGGGGGTAGGCAGAGACTATGCAACGCCAATTACTACGATTCCTGCATACCTCTGTCGCTAAGTAAAGTTAAGTTATGAACAATACTCACATTAACCACAATCTTCAAATTTTTGAAGTTTTCGACTTTATAACAAATAGTTAAGGTTGAAAATCTAAGTTTGGCAGAATTTTTCAGGTCGACCCCATTCCAGGGCGTTTTTTAGTCATCAAGAGTCTGAAAGTTCCCTGGGCGTTGTCATGCGCGGGGATTTCCTGAAAATTTTCCATCTAGGGGTCATAAAAAGCTTCATATGTTTAGTGGTTTAGCGTCTGCATAACTCGCCGAGTACCGTCATTATAGACACAATTATAGAACAATAGGTTGCGGTCACCGGTGACCGCTTGGTGTTTGACAGTTTGTTGCAATATGAATTAAGTAATGTTTTTTTTTTCAGGGGACAATCTTCATAGTAATCTGGCATCGCAGTGTCAGCAGTTAGAACTGACACCGACCACTGTTACATGGGACTGATAAAGCAGGTGCCATTGAAATTAGTCTGATTCAAGTCTTCTATTTATTTAAATTATTATTGTAGATATGTAGTTATTTATTGTGATTATAAGTTAAATAAAATTATTGCTTTTATTGTTGTGTATGCATTTAAAACTGTAGATTATATGTAGTTACTAAGTACTAATCAATTAGATAGTATATTTAGATGTACATACTTTTTGTAGAGAGGAGTATTTTTGATTTTAACTAATTAGTTCATATTACTTCATGAATAAGCGGAAGTGATGACTTACATATTTGTCGAGAAATATATATTATATTGTTGTGTTTTCTACGTTATTCTGTGATTATGTAACTAAAAATTAAAATTTCAGTATCGGAATAACTAGAAAAGCGATTCGCGTACAAATTACTTGAATTGTGCAATATAAACTTTATTTTGGTGAAATTGTACTTTCTCTGTGAAGGAGTTGGGATCAAAGACCGAGACCTCGTGTGTTGACAATGCTACTCACGGTACCGTATGCGTACCGGTACTGAATAGTAATGCCACCGGCGATGCTTCATTGTCTCGGGACAATTAAAGAAAATTAGGTGACGTTTGTACTGCGATTGGTATGCGCAGGATCCGGTGATCGATTTGCCGAGTAGGGAAAGTGGCGTATGAAAGTCCTTGTCCATATTTGTTGATGATTTGTGGGACAGACTGCTACTGTAAAACTTTTCTTGTAATTGGATATTAAAATAATCGTAAGTAGTTTAGGTAGGCATCTGCTTATTTTTGTATTCATGAATATTCATAAATCGAATTACATATTACAAGTAAAGATTTTTGTGGATTTGTGGCACTTATTTATTGCCCAGCTCTTTGGGATAAAGGACTACGTTTATCTGTATAAAGGTAAGTTAATAAAAAAAAATGGTTTATAGGTACGATCATAAGTACTCTGTTCTTATTTTTCTTTGAAATTATTGTCATTGGGAATAACATGGCAAGTGATATTGCTGGGACGTCCTTGTATGTTCGTCACTCCGATAAAGGGTAAATTATAAATCTTACACAACAGTAATTAATTAATAATAAACGTAATTCAACCACAAATAAATGAATAATTTGCGGTTAAAGAGATAGTAAAACATTGTGTGATTTATTAAATTTATTTTAAAGGGAAGATCCCTTTTGTGGATAGATTAAGGGCATTTTTATGAAGTATATGAGCGAGTCAAATAATTCCGAAATCAATTTGAATGAAGATAAACATTTCTTTTTTCATCATCATCTCGTCTACTGCTGAACGTAGCCCTCTCCATTTTTTGTACTTAGATACATAATGCCTAGAAAATGGAATTCCCACATAAGTCAATCGATTGTTCAAGGAATAATTATGCAACTGATTTTTCCCTCTAAATGTGGTATGATAATGAGGTACTAATTTTAATTTGCAGGTTTCAGTTTCTTGGTTTTTCTTTCCCGGTCATTGTTATTTTGAGGAATTCATCTATGTAATAAATTCCAGTAGTATCTACTAGATTACATTGTTACGCCAAAAATGATTCCTAGAAAGATGAACATTAATAGAGTGGTGTTTCATTAATTACTCTGACTTTATCCTTATTTCAGTTGAATCATCTATATTTAGATTTTTGTGTTCACGAGTAATTTAAACCAATTCACGCAATTGACATGTGCTCAAGAGGGCACTACACTGGCTACCGGCTGCAAGAGATTTGGATGTGGGATTTATTGTCGTCTTAATTTACTAACTCAGACTGATATTCCACAAAGGAATGGATAGGGAACGTTGCTTTGTTTGAACTACAGGGATTTATATAGTTTGTGATTATTTTGTACAATATCTAACCTTTTTAGATGAAGCTGTTATGTAAGGTCTGAATATGTCGTTGCGTCGTTGACCTAGGTCAGTGACAGACTCGAGACGCGACGATTGCCTTTCTTTAGTAGTGGACTTTTTCGAACTAAGTAATGATGTTGTGGTATGAGGACCGAGGTACATTTTGGAAATCTGTTTGATTTATTTTTTGTCATCTATATTAGGTCAGGCTCGGTTGCAGGCAAGAGCTAGTCTAGTAAAAAATAATATATAATTTTCCATTGCTCCATTTATTAATAGTGTTAACCAAACTTCATGTTTCGAGTGGCAAATAACGACAACCTTGCAATTAATCAAGTGTTGACATGATATGGGCGTCATCATTATATCCTCATTATTTTAGTTTGTCCTAATTAACATTGTGTATTAGTGTTCTCTATTTCACACACGGTTTATTGCCGGTTACATAGATTAATGGTAAGAGAAACCTAGGTATTATGACAATGATAATAGGAAAAAGATTATAGTTAATTTTTTATATATTTTTCAGTTCAGCTCACTTGTGCAGGTCTACAAGTGAACCTTTTACTAATTTAGTGACCAATGAGTACAAAATATTTAAATTCGTACAAGTATGTGTAAAATAGTATGTGTAAG